AGTGACTGAAGATTCCCCTTGCCTTAGATCATGAAGAATGCCCTTAATCTCGAAGATGGCTGACGTGTTATCTTTGTTGGAATAAGTTTCATGAACAGCATCCCAAATCTCCTTAGCTGTTTGGTAATACATGAAATTCTCCCCTGTTTCATTCGTCATTGAATTCAGCAGCCAGGACATCACCATGTTATTTTCCACCTTCCATGTTCGATAGTTTGGGCTTGTCGCCTCAGGTTGTACGGCAACTCCAGTTAGGTAATCTTCTTTACCTTTTCCGCAAACGAAAATCATGACAGAATGGGACCATTGATTGAAGTTGTGACCGGTAAGTTTATGACCGGTGATGAGAAGAGTTCCCCCTTCGGATACATTGATAGGTTGGGTAATCAAAGGAGAGTTCTGAGCTTTAGGGTCTGAGGTTTCACTCTCAACCTCGCTTGCCATGGTGGCTCTAGGGTATTTTGTCATGGTGGAAACACTCAGAGATGTGGTAGAAAAGAATGGTCCAGATCGAGCTCTGATACCATGTAGAAATTTAGGAGAAATTGTTCTAAGTTTTATTCTCCAGAAAGGGCTACGAAATTACATGAGGCCTCTGGCCTTTTATAGCTGCTCGTCCAGCTAATTATTTTGTGCTAACTACCGAAGCAAAAAGCCAGATATACTAGCCATAAATCTGGTTAGTATCTGCTGGTTTAAAAAAAAATTATCAGCACCCTAAAACTTAGGAAACAAATTCCTAAAAGCTAACAAACAAAATCCTGAAAATCTGAAAACAAAATAATCGAACTTCTACTACTAACTAAAATATCCGGATCTGGTTTTCAACAATGGATATAGCAGTAGATAGCCTACCGGCCTCTGACGGACTCAGACATGGACCTTCCTTCTTCTGAGGCAGTAGGAGACTTCTGATAAGGATACCAACCTGCGCTGCCCCCACAGATGATGCTTTAAATTTTAATCAACTTTTTTCTTGGATGCGTATTCTTATTTTCAGCAAAACGAAAAGTTTGTTAGAGCATTTCAATAGTAAACAACACATCCATTTTAACAGCTTAAGCTTTGCAGTATCCAATTTTCACCAACTGTAACGTTGTGGTCTCCAATTTTCACCAAGGCGTATTCTCTGCTCCATTCTTTATCAATACACGGATCGTGATTCTAATTACACAGACCGTGTAGCTTTAAATAACCATGTGAAACCTTGTATTTTAAAATACATAACTTTATCAGTAATGCGGTCTCTTAAAATATAGCAAGAATTTGACGAAAAGTTTTAGCCTATGTCATGGACATAGGCTGGAACCTTGAGAAGTTCGTTTAAATCATACATGTAGCTCTGCCTCTTGATCTCTCATCAGAAGACTAGGGAGGTCATTGTATATTTGAGAAGTATCGGTATCTCTGTACTTGCACTGCAATATCGGTCTTATTTTCCCTAGGCCTTATCTGCACCTGTTTTAGCCTATTCTCTACACAGATTGTGTACCTATTCGTCTATTCAATAGCGGTCAAGCTATTGAGGTTAGTGACCTGTAGCCATGTATGAATTTCTTTGATGCGGTGGATCTGCAGGCTGTTCAAGTACTCCTGGCCTCTCGAGACCTCATGAACTCAAAAAAGCCAAATGTTGAGGCAGCTAGCAGTACAGCGGAAAGAAGTAAGCAGAACGTGGATCCTATTCAAGTGAGTTCTATTATATTCTTATCTTCTATCACACTGAAGTTTATGCAAGCACCTGTTTGGCTAGATAGGCACTAAGAACAGTAAGAAAGCAAATGGCGTCAACTTCTAGATAACAGATTACCTGGAAAGAACCCTGCTTGTGGAGACCTATGATTCGCATGTCATACTAATGCAGGTAAGAAGCAGTATGTTTTGAGATGAAGATTGGTCTATGCTCCACCTAGAACGATTGTTCTTTTCAATTGATTGTCTTTACCTCATTTTCCTTTTCTTGGTTTGTGGGGAGGTGAGAAAGTTTTTCTGTTAAGAGCTCAAAGTGGCGTATGCCATGATCTGGTGTCCCTGCAGATGGAAAATAGCCAAACAATTAGAGACAGATGGGACCGAAAGTGTTAGTGACTAGATTGACTACCTGACCAAGTTTTAAAAAAGACTAAGTAACCCCCCCTGGCTGCACTAAATTAAAGAGGGCCCAATTGGCCGCATCTCAAATATTAGCAGAACAGTTCAGTGTCTCCCCTTGCTCTGCAAATTCCCTGTAGGTTACAGCTCCAGATCAATCATTGACCAAACTGTCCTTTGATATGACCCACCATATTTTTGTGTAGCTCCATCATGCCACTATTGATTATACCAAATAGGGTTCCTTATTTTCCAGCAAGAGAGACTAACCACGACACTCATCACGGGAAAACTTCTCACCTGCCATATGCAGTTTCATTTCCAGGACGCCCTGCGAGCTGGTACCAGACAGCAGGCTTTGAAATATAGCATACACTGCTAATCATCTGTACTGCGACCTGGTTGCACAACAGTGTGATGGGTCATTGCATTCGTGTCCCATTTTTTAAATGATGGTGAAAATTTTAGTGATAATTTATTAGGGGAGGGCATCAACAATTTTTACGTAATTCAAAGACAACAGAGCATAAGATCCTGCCACTTGTAAGTCCTTAGTTTCTCCATAGAGACAGTAATGGTAATTATGCTGAATTTGTGTCTTTCTATTGAACTTGTGCTTACATTCTTTTAATTAAATTCTGGAAGATTTCAAGAAAAGATGAGCCTTCATAGAGATAATGGGAGTTTTACAGCATCATTCTTACGAAATGATGTCGAACTGTACTTGGCAGTGTTTTTAGTTAGCCTAGTGATTCTGGTACTCATCTGTAGTTGATGAGGGCACAAGTTCAATTCTCAAGAGTGAGAGAATTTCGTTAGGAGACCAGTCCGTCCTCGTGCAGAAAAGGTTGTGGTCTGCTAACGCGCTAGTGTTACCACAATGATTAGCTCACTGACCTTAGACCATTGGGTCACGAGTGGTGTGAGTAACTGTGGCTCAACTTGAACATTTTGTAGTGGGTATGGGACTCCTACATTAGTGTCCCAGGAGATTGCTAACATAGAAACCCTTCCTACCCTTTTATTAAAGAAAAATCGTGGCGGTTGACTGCAAATGTAGGTTCCTTCCAAATTACCAACAAGAACTTAACTTATCAAAGAGAGGGTATATAGCAAGTTCTTGTGCAATCTGTCAGTCTGCATAGTATTTGGGTAAGTAATTACTGCTAAACCTTCTTTTAGCCATCATTTCATCCTTTCTGTTAAGACGAACTCTAATGTTCTTGTTGCAAAGAAAAGTCTCTATGTTCAACATCTCATCGATACATTTCAGGTTGATTTACTACTTGGGAAAGCCTATTCAGAATGGGGCCATGTTAGTGATGCAGTATCTGTTTACGATGGGCTCATCTTTAGTCACCCTAATGATTTTCGGGGATACCTAGCAAAGGTCTCTTTCTTCATCTAGTAACTTGCTGTTTCTTGTTAGAATATCTGATGCAATTATCATGGATATCAATGCTGCATTTATTATATTTATGACACATACACATGCTTGATATATTACCATTGCATTAGCTTTTTGTTTTTCATTCCATGAATATAGCTAATTTATTAACAGAGGGACTCACAAAAAAAAAAATCAATAAGGAAAATAAAGACTACACAAGAGAGAGCTACCTTGCAAGATATAGTTAAGCCTGTAGATGTATGTGCTTGCTGCTTCCAGTATGCATCAGACCAAATGTAGTCTGCATATTTATTTTTAGCTTTTACTTGGCATAGTTGAGTGGCATATTAAAGTCTCTTTTAGTTACTGAACATCAGAGTATATTAGTAATGTTTATTACAGCTCCCCAGTGGGTTCTGGCAAAAAAAAAGAAAAAAAAAAAGAATAAGAAAAGCTGCCAAGATGGTTAAGCTAAAGGACCCTCTTGTTTTCTATTTTGGGATTGAGCCAAATCAGTTGTAAATTTGAACTTACAGTAACTATTACCACCTAAAAAAGGCTAGGGACGGGCTTGTTGTTCCTCAACGTGAATTTTTTATTCCAAAGTTTAGCCTGAGTTCCTCCATTTTTTTTCTGGTGTCAAAGAGGCTCGAACCGTAGTTTTGTTCTTTTTGTTATTATTATTCTTCCTGTTGGCTTGTTTACTGTTTGGCTTATGTGACCTCTGGAAATCTAACTGTCGGACAACATATTTCTCTTGCCTGTTTTCCAGGGGATTATATTGAAAGAGAATGGTAGAGCTGGAGATGCAGAGAGGATGTTTATACAGGTGAGTATAAAAGCTTAGGCAGCCATAAGTAGGGGTGAGCATGGTTCCAGGTTCTACCCTGGAACTTGAAAACCTGATTGGTGGGAACCTGTAGGTTCCAGGTTCCAAGGTATGTAGGGTAGGTTCCAAGTTCCAAAAATTGGGGAACCTGTTTCGACGGGTAAGTTCCAAGTTCTAGGTAGGCGGAACCTGAAACCTAGAACCTGAAATCTAAACAAAGTTTTTGTGTTTTTTCTTGGTCTATATCTTCACGTGATCTCGCGGTGTTTCATGGCATTAGATTATGGGTGTATAATCTGAAATCACTAATTTGAGCTTTTATTTTATGACTTGTTAATGTTTCATATTCTTCATGTGTCTAAATATAAATTGTGATCAATGGATCATAGCAGCAAGTGGTGCTCATTAAAGTTAATGATTCACTGCAATTATTCAATTAATAATACAGGGAAAACTTAGGTAGAACTTGAAACCGACCCTAGAACCAGTGATAGGTAGGTTCCAAGTTTCAAAAAATGAGGAACTTATTCTCATGGGTAGTTTCCACACGGAACATGGAACCGCTCACTCCTAGTATCGATTCACGCAATGACTTCTCAGTTTAATTGTATTTATTTGACCCGTAATGCCAGGAAAACTAATCTTTTGTATTCTCTTTGGTGAATGACAAGCTTGTTTAGTATTGTTGCGTTCATTTTCGTTTTGTTTAACTAAAAATGAAATAAAAAAAAAAGAACCTGTGACAGGGTAGGTTCTAGGTTTCAAGTTCCGACGGGTAGGTTCCAGGTTCCAAAAAATGAGGAACCTGTACCCGAGGGTAGATTCTAGGTTCTAGGTGGAACCTGGAACCGCTCACCCCTAGCCATAAGAATGTCTTGATGAGCATAGGCATGCAGTTTTTGCAGTCTAAGATCAAGTGGCTGGCCTCTAGATAGAAACTTTATTGAGAATGATGCAAAAACTCAAAATCATCATGCGATATTGCTGGTGTCATGCCTTTTGCATTTAATGCAATGGTTAGTGACGTATTGGGAGCTCTTCCAGTCGAGTAGAGAAATCAGTTTAATTGTCACTAATGGAGCTTTACAGCATTCTGCTGATGTAGTCGTTAGAGAGCTTGTTAGAAGAGCATTTTCCATGTAAATAATTTATTAGGCAAGGAAGCAAAGAGCAACCAATATGAGTCGTCACCTTAAGAATTAATTTTACGTTTTTACGCCAAATCTTGTGAAATATGACGAACTAAAAATTACCATTTCATCATGGAGGTTCAAATATTCTTATTGTTGAGGGTGTCAAAGGCAGTATTCAACCCCATTTTAATTGTTTGACCGGGAGAGTTTGCTTCCTGTCATAGTTGGACTTCTTGTTGCTAGTAGACTCAAAGTTGGATGTTTTCATTCTAATCATGTAAGATTAGTTTACTCATATTATTTTGTGAACTCCACTTGATTGTTTACTTTGCAGGCACGATTTTTTGCACCCGAGAAGGCCAAGGCACTTGTGGATCGTTATGCTGGACAGTGAGCGACTTTCTCCAATGCATTCACTTGTTAGGGACAGGAGCCTTGACTCAACTTAAAAGTCCATTTGGCTTTATAAAATTGTATAGACATGAGATAGATGACTGCCTATGACTTCGTTTGAGTAGTTTTATATAATGAATGGAGATTAAAAAGATCTTTTTTCTCGTAGTCTGTCGAAATCTACAGCTACGAAAGACCAAGGTTATGTTGTTCCTCAATTTTTGGCTCCCATAATTTGGAATTCCATGTAGATGGATTAATTCATACCCTTGATGCTTTGTCTTGTTTCTTGGTTCATTTTCTCCTCCGTTTGATAATAAACTGCATAAGCGCAGTCCAAAAATATATAGATTGCATGATATGTGGCTTGGATCACTTGCTTGCTGAACTCGTACTACGTACATTGTTATCCAAAGAAATATGAGCAGGGGCATGGACTCAAGCTCCTGCTTGAACCACCTGTCCAAATGTCATTCTCTGGAAACTGATGAGACTATGAGAGTGACTATGATCATCACACACACTAGGAACACAAGGATTTTGTGATTTTTAGGTTCAATTCAAGTGAACACGTAGGTCCTCCCTGATTTCAATGCAGTGTGACTATAACTTCTTAGAGGTCTGCGGTCCTTATTGAAAAGAATAAGACAGGATGCCATAAAGCAATAGAGATTGTATGTTCACTTTATTCTAATTCATGCAATTCGATAATTATGTAAAGAGTTATTGTAGACATTCATGTAGGATAACTTCGTTTAGCCACAGAAGTGGACTGGAGTCGATCTTAATTTCAGAGTACATGTAACGGCATAACAAGGGAAAGAACATAGATTAGCTAGAAGCATCAGGGAGCTGCAAGGTGGTAATAGTTCAATTTCTGCGTCATTTAATGGTAGATGTAATTAAGGGAGAGCAACCCTTGGTTTTTGTTTTCTGTTTTTATGGCCAATAGCAACCCTCGATTGAAGCCGCCCAACTGATAACTATTTCTCACCAAAGCAAGTCTGCCTTTTTTTTTGGCCATCAAAGAAAGCCTGCCTTATTCACTCCTAATTTACTTTGCCGGGTCCTTCATAACATCTCCTACACTACCTTTAAAATTATAGGTAATATCACTCAGAGGACCAAAATACATAAAGAAGAAAGTAAGAGAAACATGAAAGCAGAAGTTATCTGCACATTTGGGGGTGATGAGAAGGTGTGAGCTCACAATCGGATGAGCCACAGCTAACGGCTTCTTTCTCTACATATTCATGGGAGAAGAACGTGACGTCTCTTTTTTCCTCGACAGCCTTCAAGATCATCTCGAAAGCAGAGACTTCACATGGAATCTTGAGTACGCCTTCCTGTTGGAAGCCAAACTCTTCTTCTGCTTCTTGCAGAAGTAACCCGAATGCGGGGTGTCTTAAATGCTCAGTCGGGATCACAAATCTCTTCAGCTCTTTCCCCACTGAGACGGCCAAAAAGCCTTTGGGGACAACATCACTAGACGATGCCAAGACGTCCGAGAAGGAAAGAGTTCTCTTTAGAAACTTGATGCTTTTGCTGCCATTACCCATGGAGGTGGTAGTTGAACTGGAGTTGCTTGTGCTGCTATTGCCACTTCTGTTGGTGTTCTTGGAGGCGTTTGCGAGCTTTTTCCACTTCTTGAGGATCTGTTGAAGCCTAACAATGTCACTGATCTTGTTAGACTTCTTAGAATCCATGAAGCTGATGTGCCTTCAGGAATATGGGATCTGGCAAACTTCTCTTGTTTGGGGGTGGAACTCAAATGGGGGTGGTGTTTCGGGGTTTATAAGCTAGTTGAAGGAGGTGCTTGGTCAAGGTAATGGAATATTCAATTCATGTTCTACTCCGTTATTTAAGCATTTCATTGAAGATAGAGCCCGTCGGTTGCTGGTTGCAACTGCCTCCGATGAATAAATTAAAAGAAATAACTGATGCATTTGGCCTTTCTTTCTTGGTTTCTGTGACCCTTTTCATTGTATTTTGTCTTTCCGAGCCTCGGAGGAATGCAGATCCATATGAAAAGAGTCAGTACTGAACTACTATGCAGAGCTCGGCATTTTGTGCGCTATATTTTATTAACTGTAAATGTGTCTGTGAAGCAAAGTCTACAGATCTAGATAGATAAGCCGGTGCTCAGTCTCCTCTTCCTTACGAATATTACTGGTTCTTTTTGATTCAACTGTCTCAACAGTCAAACCGCCTAGAAAGGCATCATCCTCGTGCATGCTCCTCTTAATAATTGACCCTTCACAGCACATTGGTGTTGGTGTTTGGAGCTCTGGTTAGCAATTAAAGGCACTGATTGATGAGATATTAATCATTGGCGAGCTTTTCATGCACCCCTTTTGTTTTTTGGATTTTGGAATGGCCGAGCGGATCCTAGAAGCAAAAGGGCTCTGGAGAAACCCATGTGGCCTCCCCATTCTTTTTCTATCTAGTGCAAGGTATGGAATGATGTTAGATTAAACACTAAAGCCCACGGGGTTGACTTCTTATATAACACTGATGAAGCCAAGAGAACATGCAACCCCTTTCTTCAGCTTTTGTCTTCACATATTCGGCATCATCGGAACAAACATTGTCACCTTGTCAAAGCGAATTTACTTCGTTTCTTCTTCAGATAACCTTGATGCACATGATATGGTCGTGGTTTGCGATGTATGATTATCTTTTGAGAACTAAAAAGATGCTGTACAAAGATCTCTCTGGGAGATGCAGATATAGCTAGTGTACGTTTTTGTACCCTAGGAAGAAAAACATAATAAAATCCCATCTCCATATATTGTCAAGATGGTGCTGCAAAAAAAAAAAAAGAGCTAAGTCCATGTGGCTTGATCAGGTACCTCATAATCAAGAATATATAAAAATTTGAAGGGGAAAGGCTCTAATGAGGATTAGTACAAGTATAGTTTGATTAGTGGCGGGCTGGAAACAGTGACAAAACATGGTTGGAGCATCCTAAGATAGTTTGACCAAGTGGGGTGCTTTTTTAAGTGCCCAGAACCAGATAAAACAAATGATGCAACAGTTTATTAAGGAAATAAAGTGAGTGGCACTTGCCCGATTTGCAAGGGAAAGAGGAGATCTGATTGCTCGGTCAAACTTCAATGGAGACGGACAATTCGTACAAGTCCATAAAAAACAAGGGCTTTGAGCTCCAAAGCTCATGCTCGAGTCGATAAAGAAAAGGAGTATTCCATTGGAAGAAGCAAATGGCTGATTAAGTTAATCAACCCATGATTGCAGGGCTCATGTTGTAATCCCACCTCCCGAGGAGGGAGAAAGATTTCTTTTATCATTCTTGGTTTGGGGCTCTCATGGGTATCCCATGGCTTATGGTCTGCCTCTGCTAATAATTTGGATCTGGTGCACATGACCCCTCTTCATTTGAAAAATACAAGGAACCTCCTCAAATGCATAACTACAAGCATCTCTCTCTACGTCCCATCAGCTCATCTGAGTACCCGCACTGGTATGCATGTTGTCTGACGTAATATTTGATAAACTGCAACTTGGCCAAAAACAGTGGGCAATTGATGGGTCGTTTCTATGGGCCATCCCTAGAAACTAGGGTTTGAAAGCCAGAGCTGCCCATCAGCGTTTAGCTTAACGTGAAACCGAGTCTTTTGACCCAATACTTATAGATGACTCCCAGTTGTAGCAGAGAACCAAATTAAATTAATGCCGTCCAAATTGCACTGCAACGTCATCACGAAAAAGACTATTTTTAGACTACAAGCCATCATGATTCAGTTTTGAATCTAAGACCTCATGGCAAACCAAATCGAATCTTCTTGGTCGATTAGTTTGATCGTTTGGTTTCTTTTTTACACAACTCCATTTTGTTGAGTTATTGATTCAAAGGACCCAGATATCCAAATTTGTGGTCCTCTTAACTGTGTTAGCTACTGTAGATAAAGTGATTGACGGTCCTCCTATCACTTCTAATCTTTTTTTTTTTTGCTGTAGTGTAGAAAGTACAGCATTCTTCTATAGGTCTTCGTCGTCCGTTTGGTACGTATAATCCCCCTTGACGTGGTCCCTGTGAAATCAACTCGAGTTGAAAAAATCAGCATGTACACAAGAACACGATATGACTTCTCTTGGAGCTACTATGTGGAAGGACTACAATTCAATTATACGTTCGACTGAATTAAAAAGAAGAAAAAGGGAAAGAAGCGAGAGAAATCATTCGGGCAGAACCGGACGGATCCAGCAGCTACGGACGATGAAAGAGGGAGTGAATGCATCTCTGCTCTAGCTAAGACCCATCACTCACGTGATGAATATAAGTCTCCACATCTGAAAAAACTGAGGAACAGTGATGGGCCTCTTCCAGCCCAGTCACATGTCGGCCATTGCTCTTCGCAGGATTGCAGTGCAGCGTAATCCCACATGCGGACTGGGACGGAAAATCATCGCTTCTGAGCCGTGAACATGTTCACCATGGGCCAGGAACGACAAAACGTCAAAAACATGGGTACGCAACGTGCTTGGAGAAGAAGAAAGAGAAATATCTGTGGCTCCTGCAACGTTACTTCCTATACAGAGGCGTACAAAAACGCAAAGGTCAAGTGGGGGTGGCAATAGCAATGGCAATGGCAATGGCATCTTCAACTTTTGGAGGGAAAGCAACAGGTGAGCCTCCCTGGTCAATTCCATTTTTGTCTGCCCCTGCAAAAGCCTTCCTTGCCTTAATCGAACATGGATGGTCCCTCTTCATTGTCTTCTTCTTGGGTCAATTTCTCCCACTTCTTCCTCTTTTTAGGAGTCACATGTTTTCATTGAGCAAGTAAAATGCCCCCTCCATATTCACCCATCTACCTATCCTCTTGTTCTTGATCATCCGGACAACAACTTCCTACCTCTTCACTTGCATCACCTCAAGTTTATCTTTTGGTTCTTGCCAAATGTACTTCAACCTCCTTATAGCAAATTATCACCTTCTTTGTCTTCACTCATTGCAACATATAATGATCAGGGTTGTTCTCTCGTTATGAACCCCTTAAATTAGCGATGTTAACTTGAAAGGCATGTGATTCCGTGACCATATAATATAACGTTAAAGCCGATATTTAATAAATGAATCGTATAAATAAGATGCTCACCAAAAGTTGAACGACACATAAATATATATATTGTAACCTGATAGCCTTTGTTCGACAAATAAATGTTATTAGTGGATTAACAAAAAAATTATCCATCTTCGCAAAGAGCTATACTATAAGCTTTGCAGATGAATGTTAGAAAATATCTATCCATTATTACATAAAGTCTATAGAACGAAAATGATATTTGTTTAGAGGGTTATATGACACTGTTGATCATATATCATAAGTAAATTTAATTAAGGGCATAATTATTGATGACTCTTATGATAAAACCTTATATCTGGTTTATTTCGATTACTCTATACTTGCCGAGAGCACAGGATCCTACATTTGGTGTCATTCATATCACTTTACAGTGGATAAGCACAAAGTAAAGGTGAAATGACATGACTGCCAAAGTTTAACAAACAAAATAATTTAAAATGATCTAACTAGTATGATAGCACATATTTTGCTTACAAATATAAATTACCAAGTTAATGATAAATTACCCATTAACACAAATGCTTTATTGAAGAAAAAAATGAAATTTAAAAGGGCTCTAAAACATGACAGTGCATGTTTCATTAATATATGATGTTAGAGGATAATTAAAAAAGTTATATAACATGATGCCTTTTATATGACAAATAAATGATACTAGAGGATCAATTAAAATATTCGTTACTACAGAATTGTGGCTGATCTCTGATACTTAAGGTGAATGCTATCAAATCGATAAAATAGATGCTATTAGATAAGTATGAGAACTAATCGTGACAAAAATTTTAGGCATAATGATACAAATGATCCTTAAATTTTGACCCAATGTGTAATATGATCTTGAAATTTTATTTTTTTCAATATGGCCCATGAATTTTAGCCCTATGTGTAATGTGGTCCCTGAACTTTTTGGTACATGTTCAAACTAGTTTTTGGACTATATGAAAATTTTCAATGTTATCTCTAAACTTAAATTACTAGAACGACAATAATGAACATTTTCATATAATCCAAGGACTAGTTTGAACATGTAACCAAAGTTTAGGGACCACATTGAACAAATTAAAAAATTAATGACCACATTACACATTAGGCTAAAGTTCATGGACCACATTGAATAAATTAAAAGGTCAAGGATTAGATTAGACATTAGGCTAAAGTTCATGGATCACATTGAACAAATTAAAAGTTTATGGACTAAATTGCATATTGAGCCAAAATTCAGGAACCATTTGTGTCATTTCCCAAAGTTTTATAATGTCATATTTTGTCTTTGCCAGTATAGAATCATGTTAACGGGTCATCTTACTTGATTATGCATACTTCGCGTATAGTAAAAACTTGATAATCGTTATGATTAACCACATATACGAAGGTAACTCTCATCACTTTGCAATTTAGATCATGTGAAAGATTTGAATTGATATATAGATACAGAATATTATGAAATATTTACCAATAAATGATTTTAGATGATCATTAAAAAAATATGCATATAGTGTGATAACTTATATTTGATGAATAAATGATATTAGAGGATTGTTAAAAGAATTACACGTCATGTTTACAGATAATTAAATACAATAAAATTAATAAAAAAAATTCCGTATATATGAGAATCACCATTACGCAATATCAATGCAGGAGGAAAATATTTTTCTAATATAGTATATAATTTCATAATCAATTAATGCGCAATTTTATTATGACTCTTGTAATTAAGCGCATAACAATGGACAACTCTGATAAGATGATTTTTATTATGTTTTAAAATTTGTACTGAAGCATCGATAAAAAGGTTACCTATCCTCACAAGAATTTAATAGCACATTTATTTAATCAATGAATATTATAAAATGATAAAAGATGAATATGAGCTGATCAACAAAATACATTACCAGTAGTGCTTTCAAAATAGCTAAAAGAGAAAAAAAAAATGTGCCCAAATATCGCTTCACCAAGAAAGATGAGATTTATAAATATTACATTGGCATCTATTCAACCCGGTTATATTTGGCAATGCCAACTAACAATTTTTTTATTTGGGCCATATCTAACTTACACTTAATGTTGTCGATTTTCATCACAAGTGTCGCTTCACCGAGAAATATCAAATAAATGGGTATGGTTCGTTTTCCTTAAGTGTATCCATTAATTAACAAGAAGTATCAAAATACAAAGATAGATCAACAATCAACATTCAGCAGAATACTGAAAATATAATCCTAGATCCGCGCAACGCACAAGCATCTTGCTAGTTATAATGTATTGAAAAACTGCATATTCTTTTTATTGGCCTTAAAAAAAAATTGCATCTTGCTAACTCAATGTATCATATAATTTATTTTGTGATTGTCACCCACGTATGGGGGGGGCGGGCCATTTATAACCAGAAGTCCTGGTAAATGTAATGAGCCCAGTTGCCTCTTTTGCCCCCACAAATCAAAAGACCTCCCAAGCTGAGAACTTTCCCAAGTAAAACCCTAACAATCCACAAGAAAAGAGGCGGGTGCATGCCCCTGAAATCACTCGGTTCAAAGCTTGATATTTCCCTAGAAGGGAGAAAGAAAAGGGGGAAAGAACAGAAGCAGAACCCATCAATTTATCATCTCCCTCCCATCCAAAAAACATGGAGGAGTTACCATCCGATTCCACAGAGCAGCAGTATCTTTGTCGCTGAATTATCACCAAAGGGTCCATCATCGCACGACAGGGAAGCGATAAAAGAAGAGGAGGGGGGGTGGGGGGGGGGGGAGAGAAATCTCTGCTTCTCAAGCCAGTCCAATGACCCCCAAGTCTCCTTCTCAGGCACGTCAATCCATTCCTCCTCCAATCTTTTGCCCTCTTTGTCCTGAATTTCCTCACGCTTTTTGTGCTTTGCTCATATGGGTCTGTGAATATCTCTACACTCGTCATATGAATCTTTGAGGAGAAAAAAAAGGAAGGGAACCCAGAAAGAAAAAAGAGAAATGATATCTACTTGCATATTCTCTGTTCCTGCAGTAGCTTTAGATGTAAAAGTCGGTTTGATACTGATAAGAGCTTCGATTTAAAAAAATAAAATAAAATCATAATCTGGACATGGAATCACAGTCGCAGAAGAAGACTTATGGAGGGGCTAACGCGGGCTTTGGCGACGTCTATGGAGTGTTGATGCTCTCCAAGGAGATGATCGACCTTGACAAGGACCCTCCTCCTTTTGAGCTCCGGTTTCAAGTTCCCGACTTTAAGCTCGTCCTCAAAGTAAGTAGAGTGCTTTTTCTCTGGGTAGTTATTTTCTCTTTTGCACTCTGGACTTTTAGTCTCCAAGAAGTGTTTGATTGTGGATGAACACACGGTATATTCTCTTCCGAAGAATTGCCTTTTAAGTTAATAAGGAGTTACCCATGATTTACTGAGGTTATAGATGAACTTTAGGAAAGCAGGAAGTCACTTTTTATAGTTTGGGTTCCATGACACTCCGTTTTTATGTGTGTTTGATCGATTCGTGGGAAAATCTGACCCTCAATTGTCTATTTTCTCCTCCGAAATCTGCTCTATAAAGGTTGGTTGCTGAATAAATTGCCAAATGGCTGAGCACAAATATTCAACTGTGACTACAACGTGTAAATGCTTTCCCAGAGCAGAATCTTTGATGATCTTCATTCGACTTATATGAGATTGGTTGTTAGAGACTTCCCCATGGTTTGAGTTGTCATAATATGCGGTTGTCCCATTCCGGGGTCCTGACTACCCAGCTGATTTTAGTTATTGGTGATAGCCTATTCATTTGATTCCATTCTGAATTTTTTCTGCAATAAACCTGAGTGAGCTAAGTAATAGTGGAAGTATAGCTGTTGGCTTCATTGGAGATTACTGAAAAAGTTGTTTTTACGTTAGTATTCTGGATCTGGAAAAGCAAATCACAGATCAAGCTAAAAGTTCGTCATTTTGAATCTAGACTATATGTGCTATCTTTGTTTTGTTGTCTTTGAAAAGGAATGCTTGTCCAAGGGTTACAGTTATCTTAATATGCTGCTTCAACTCTTGGATTTCTCCCTCGAAATTTCTTAGGCACCTTTTCTCTCTTTACATAAACATCAGTAGATGCTCCTTTTCCTGTAGTCTTGCCATATTTGCGGCTTACCAATTGCAAAAGTCATTCTGCCCATTATCTGGGGTCGAATTTTTAAGTTCCTCATTCATTCTATGTAAATGCAGGATTTCTTCAGAACTAGAGAAGTTGGCGAGTTTCTTAGTGGGGCTTTGGCTGGAGCCATGACCAAGGCTGTCCTTGCTCCTCTCGAGACAATCAGGTTCAAATGGTTCTTTTGTCATTGAGCATGTTATTTGCATTTTTCTCACAATATGAAATTCCAAATGCTATCCAGTCACGCTTAACTAATTTGTAGACAGAAAGTATTCCACATTATAGCTTTTTTCAATTCTTATCATGTAAATCTTGTTCCATGGGCCCCCAATACATGTGAAGTTTTCAGTTGAGGTGTTTTCGGGATTAGGGATTTACTGTACTCACTATCTATTGGTCTCATCTCATGATTTAATTTTATGGGGGACATGTCTGTCCAGGAGAATCTGTGATAATTAATAATTGTAGAACTCTCTGACTAAATTTGCAAAACCCAACTTTTATTTCCAACTCCACCACCCTTTTAATCTGCTGAATTATGGTCCTTTGTACTCTGAAACTTTCGTATGGTGAGCAACCGAGTGATAGTTCTATTCCTACCCAACCTCAGCAGCTAAGCTGTTGAAAGTATTGCCCCTGGCTGCCTTAAGATTCATCATATGAAAATCTTCAAAATTTTTTAGCTTAGTTGTGGCTTGTAATTTGCAGGACAAGAATGATAGTTGGCGTCGGATCAAAAAACATTGCTGGTAGTTTCCTTGAGGTCATGGAGCAGCAGGGATGGCAAGGACTTTGGGCTGGCAATACAATCAATATGCTCCGCATCATTCCTACCCAGGCAATTGAGCTTGGAACATTCGAGTGTGTCAAGCGAGCAATGACATCTGCACAAGAACAGTGGAAACAGAATGAGGGTCCCATGGTGCAATTAGGTAGTCTGAATCTTAGGTTAAACCTTTCCTGGATCTCTCCAGTTGCCGTTGCCGGTGCAGCTGCTGGCATTGCTGGCACTCTTGTGTGTCATCCCCTTGAAGTTCTGAAGGTATCCAAACTTATGCTTCCATTCTGTGTGCGTCAATGTCTTAGCTTACTTTTGATTTTCATTGTTTGAGTTGTATGAAGACAGTTATCTATTCTTAATTCTCATGGTATCATGATGACATGAGAGCTTTTCAAAACTGATATTGACTTAATTCTCTTGTAGGATCGGTTGACTGTAAGTCCAGACATCTACCCTAGCTTAAGGGTTGCCTTAAGCAAGATCTATCAAGATGGTGGAATTGGGGCATTTTATGCTGGTCTTTCACCCACGCTAATTGGTATGCTTCCATACAGTACAAGTTACTACTTTATCTATGAGACGGTCAAGAAGTCTTACTGTTCAAAAAAGAATAAGAAGTCCTTGAGCCGTCCCGAGATGCTTCTAATTGGAGCATTTGCAGGTGAGAATCCTTCCATAGTGAAAATGCTGGTTGAATGATGCTACCCTAGTCATTTTCTTCTGTTACCTTTTCAGTGGTCTCCTGTATTTTTAGAAATTTTGGTCATTTAGGAGTTGCAAAAACCTTTGGTAGCATTTTTACTAGTTTGCACGTCTGAAAAATTTCTCTTTTCGCCCTTTTCTCTATCACTTTGCCAGGTTTTACTGCTAGCACCATCAGCTTCCCATTGGAGGTGGCAAGGAAAAGGCTAATGGTGGGAGCTCTGCAAGGGAAGTGTCCGCCCCACATGGCGGCGGCACTGGCAGAAGTCATTCGGGAGGAGGGTCTGATAGGGCTGTACAGAGGGTGGGGCGCAAGCTGCTTGAAAGTTATGCCCTCCTCAGGCATCACCTGGATGTTCTATGAAGCTTGGAAAGATATTTTGGTTGTCGGTAGACATCCCATGTAATGGCTCGAGAGCAAGTCACGTGTAACGGCGCGAGAACAACGTCCGGCCATATTTTTGTTGATCTGGGCGAGGGCTCCTTTTTTGAGAATTTTGCTGATGTAACGTGGGTCATTTATTTTGCCCATTGATTAATTTGTTCCAGCAAATTTTTATTGGAAAGGATTGTTTCCTTCTCCTATTTGACTTATTTTACATGATTTCCTTGCAATTTATAGAGCTTTGGTGATGCATTCGGATTGATTTCCTACTTCTCCAAAGAAGGAATATGTGGTCGGCGGTGGGTGCTGTTTTTGTTTGTTGATCATGTCGCCCACGGTGAGTAAGTGGGGATATTGGGAAGATTCAATCACCATAGATTTTAATTTAAGCACCTTAGTTTCTCTAACCATAAATTTTTGTCCGTAATAATCTTTTGACAGAAAAATTTAGAAGTACAGTGAAGTAATGGATTGGAAGAGGACCAGGAAAATGCGAAGCCACATAAAATATGGTAATGAAAGCCAAGCTGACGCACTGCCAATTAATAAGATATGTAAAACAGGAAACGGCTCAAAGTAAAGATTAAGAAGGCATGGCAAAGTCTACATGCTTTTAATTGAACAAGTTCCTCATCACTACACAGAACAGGTCCACCTGTTGGGACATTGCCTCTCTCCCTCGTTTCCCCATTCAAATGCATACCCAGAACTTCAAAATTTCAATTAATAGCCACCAGGGCAGTAGCATTGACCGACCATGCTCTACAACAATAAATCTATGATCCACCAATGACTGTTCAGACGGCTGCTGTATTGCCCATTGAAATGGAAGCAAGTCTTTTCAAGTATTTTTGTCTCTACACCAAGTCTAACCACCTAAACAATCTCTCCGATGACATTCAACAAGGAAAAAGTATAGGAGAGGGATCTCTATGCAACTTCCCATCAGACAAATCCAGTTTCTTCATCTTTTCTTCGCACCAGAACAATTGTCCTTTGACGATCCTCTCCATCTTAAGAACCATGGAACATAATTTCACGTCTATGAGGGCAAACAGCAGCTGAACGTCGTCATCTCTTTGAGGCCATGATTTCTTCTTCCACCCTTTCCTCCTCTTGCGCAGTTCCTTCAATTTCACAGCTTTCTGCATATGGCAGCAATCAGACCGAAGCAATTACAAAGTTTAAAAGTTTACTAGCAAATCGTATTCACTGCCAGTAAACTAAACACAAACAGCTGCCAGTTTATTCCATCTAACTGATGCGTAGGTTCCTAAAATGCAAACGCCAATCCTGCTGCAATAACAATCTTTTTCAAGAACTTAGCCAGTCAGATTACAGCTGTATCAGTCATATAGCAGTCTACAGAGAGAATCAACATGAGAAGACTTCGAGGAGATCCCAGCAGCAACAGTCACTGGTTATGCTCAAGAACCGAAGGGACATCAAAATGAAAAATTGAAACTTTTACTGGTGAGCGGATATAAGCAAACAATATCAAGAAAAATACAAATTCCTATGCCAGAAAAAAAAAATGAGAACTAATAAAGCCTGTAAATTTGAAATACAAACGAATCAAAGACCAATGCAGGAAAAGCAATACGTAACGAGTAATAAGAGAAACTCACCTTCTCAAGAGATGACTGGACCTGCTGTAGGGGGCTAGCAAAATGATTCTGATTTGCAAACAAATGTAGAACTCCAGTGGACTTCCTCTTGTCCATTTTCAGGAAAAGATGAAAAGTGAGGATGGTATTCTCCATAATTCTGAGGAGATCCGGTGCAAGAACCAATTTATCTGAGCCACCTTCTTCCACCGCTTTCTGCTCTGAGCCTGTTGTAGCACAAGTATTAATATAACTTTTACAAACATAAAGTCCATGTCTTCCAGTTATTTTATCTAATTTCCATGTATACCATCAAGGCCATTACCTTGAATATTTGGAACCTGAAGAAGTTTAGGCAAGCTTTTTCTTGCACGTGCATAAATTTCTGGTCGAAGACCCTGTTCGAAAGGTTCGTTTTCCATAAACCTTTGGAGTAGAACATGAAATTGTTGAAACTGTTGAGCACTGCGGCTGTAACATGTCATATTTTCAGGCTGGCCAGAGATCTTTTGGCACAGTTGAGTGTATTGGCAATGAAGTGCCTCCCATGTTAAGCAAGTTTGAGCTAGATAAGCTGTCTCAAGATCATCATAAGGATTACCTTCTGACTGTTGCAGGTTCTCCATTTCTTCATCAGGCTCTTCAATCTTCTTCAAAGAAAGACAGCGAAGGGGAGAAGTAAGTTTCTTAGATGCAGGTCTGGGTGATGGTGCCAAGGGAACTTGCGGAACTGCAAAACAAGAAAATACAGACCATATAATTGTTATCAAACTTCCGGAAGCCACTTCGGCAATGAATGGACATCTCTATACAAATGAAGATTCGATTTTCAATGTAAAATTAGCATTCACAGGACAGCTTGAAGTACATCCAGACTCCATACCAATCAACTATGATCATGTGTGCTCTTTCACAAGAATAAATGAAGCACCTCCTCATACCTCATCCAATTTCTCTCATCAACAAACAGAAGATACTGTATTGGTCCAAACAGAAAAGCTTTTTTATTAACAATAGATGAGGAATGCAAATTCTTTCTTTAGCACATATTAAATCATAGCAATACCAAAAACACTTACAATGGCACCAAACGAAAGAAACCAACTGCAAGACTCCTAATATAGAAGTCCAATAGAATCTAAGAGAAGTTACTAATAAAATGATTGGGAAAAAAGAATCCTGACAACAGAGAAAATCATGTCAGTCCATGTGAAAGTAATCAAAGCATAAAACCATCAGCTGTCACCAAAGTACCATGTTTTGCATAAGCATTTAACAGGCCTAACATGAAAACCATAACAAATTACCGGCTTCGCTGAGCTGCTGTGTACTCAATCGATCAAAGAACAGCATCCCCTCACAGTACTTTTCATAAAAAGCATCAAATCCACCCCACCATTGTCGACCTTCAGCTTCGACATCTCTCCACTCACTAGAGCTAGTCTCTCCCTCTTCACCCTCTTCCTCGTCATCCTCAGGGCATGAGTCCTCCTCAGGAATCAAAACCAGAAAACTGTTCCGCCTAAGTTCTTTCAACCGTCTCTTCACTTCATTCGTTATAAAGTCGTCGTCGTCGTCTTCATCCTCCACATCAGCAACATTATCCGTGGAGACCGACTTGCTAAAATCATCAATGCCATTTTCATTGTTTGGTTCCTCTTGTGGCGGGATGGACTTCCCCTCAGTATCCTGCTCCAAGATAGGCTTGCGGGCTTTCCTGAACTTCTTGACTTTGAAAAAGTCCATCCTGACTCTTCCTTTTATGTTGAATCAGATCGAATCCTCAAGCAATAGCTCAATGCAGTTCTTACCAGTACCGAGCCTTATGTCCTCTGGTAATAATATTCGATTAGATCAGAAAGAATGCCTCATTTCCTCTTTTTCTTTTTTCCTCCTGAACTTGAATCAGACCTTGCAGGATAAATCACAGACCTATCAGATGGGAAAAATCAGCAGGCAAAGCTTACCTCAGCTCCACTATCTAACCAAAAAAAGCTTTGATTTTTCGAACAGCACTTACGTTAAATAAACCGAAACTCTCTCTCACAAACTAAAGTAACAGTGGCGGCATCTCCTAAGATCCAGCAATTTTTCCAGCAAGTCTACAGCTTTACTCACGAAAGAGAAAGTACGAACCAGGAGGTCAAAAAAATCAGCATTTTTGGCGTGCCCAAGATTCAGCATTTGCGTCACGAAGCCTCAGAATCATCCACGGCTTCAGCAGAAACCTCCACGAACCAAGAAAGCAGAAAAGGGAGAACCCATAACCCTCAAAAGATCCGGCATTCGAGATCCCACTAGCTTGTCGATGAACCAGGACTAGTAGGCAGAGAAGATCCCTTTCAAGAACCAAGACATTGCCAAAACAAAGAAGAAGAGAATGCGACCAAGAAAGAAACAGCTAAAAGAGAACTGAGAAGTAGGGTTTGAAGGAAAGAGGGATGGGTGTTGCTGGTCTTGGTCCTCGGCGAACCCAAAACAGAAAGACAGTGAAACGGAAATTGGAAATTGGAAAATGGAAATTAGCAAAAGAGCAAATGCTAATGCTGAGTAGAGTGAGTAGGGGAGAGTGATTACTGTGTGTTGGTGTTGGCAATAAATGGTACGCGATTTTCCTTTCCTACGATAAAAGTGGGTGAAATGTGATTACTGATTAGGGAGAGAAAGTGAATTGAACGGGAGAAGGTATTAAAAGCACGAAGCCCCAGAGAAACATTGGGAAGCAGTGTTCCAGTGTCCGGACCTCGTGCAGAGAATATTGTCAGAAAGTATGCTTTATCTCTCCCTCCCTCCCTCCCATCACAAAAACCCAAAAACCCAAACCCAAACCCAAACAAAACCCCGCGCTTTTGGTTTCGTGAACCTGGGGAGAGCGAAAACACATGCTTGTCCTCTGAACATTGGCATAATGACAGCCACGTCCCGACTTTCTCGAGGTCAAAGGTGGAATCTTTATGAAAGAGAGACGACAGCCAAGCCAACCCAAGCGCGAGTTAAGGATCATCAGGTCAGGCTCTCATCATGTCCATCCTTCTTTGTCACGCTCACTCATGGAAAGAAACTTCTTTGTTACCTTTTGTTTAACTTATTTTACTTTATTCTTCAATCATGCCATAAAGCGGAAAAGAAGTGTCAAGTCAACACTTGGTTCGCGGGAATCCATTGAAACCTTCGAATTGAATTAGCGCGACAAGATTGGGACAGCAATGCGTGCCGGGGAGACAGTCAAATCTCTCGCTTTATAACGATGAAAGTGGGAGTTGAAGGTGGAATTGATGTCGCTGCCGTGCAGGTGAGATCCCCACTTGGTCCACCCGTCAAACCTTGCAGATGCTACCCGCAACATCGAACGGAATTGCTGAGTTCAGTTGTCTAAGAAAAGCCCATTCCGTGAAGAAAACATGATGAATATATAAAGAATAGAATACTAATCGAGACAGAAGTTACTACCAACCGATCTCTTTATGAATTAAAATTGATAAAGATCCTCTTCACATCTCTCAGGCAACATGTGCCGTTCAATAATTAGTTGCAAAAAGACTAGAAAAGCTAGAAGAGATTTGATGGAGTTATGGATAATAGCAGCTACAAGGGGGTCTTGCCGTGGAGCACCTTCCTCAGCAGCGATTCTCGCCCTGGAAATGGGTTGTATACCGGCACCGACGGTGCCGCTGCCGCCACCGCAGCTGCCGCTCCTCCATTTCTAACTTCCCTCCGGCTCCCACCGACAATCACTCGGTTTTGACCTTCACCCGTTTCTCTCTTCAACCTCAGCCTGTGTCTCCTCTCCCTCCTCCTCTCCTCTCCTTGAGATGGCGGTTCAGATTCAGAGCACTCCTCCTTCACCTTCCCCTTCCCCTTCCCCTTCTGGTCATCCGATTTCCTGGGGATCCTGCCGCCCTTGGAAGTGCCCAGAAGCTCGAAATCCACCCGACCCCACCCGGCCTTATCCTCGTTGTCCCACCCGAACCTCTCGCTTATCTCCAGCAGCTCGGACACCGCGCTCCCCGACCCTCCACCCGCACCCCAACCCCCACCACTCAACACCCTCTCCGCCGATTCCCACTCCATCCGGTCCCGGTAGACGGGGTCCTGCAACACCTGGTCGGCCAGCCGGGCCCACTCCTCCGTGTCGCGGGCCCGGAGGTTGCCGGAGACCCACCTGAGGTAGCCGGAGGGGAGCGTCCCCAGCATCCTGCCCTTGTGCCTCCCGAAGTCTATCACCCGGTCCCTCGCCGGCGTGGCCCTGCTCCTGCGGAGGGGTGTACTTGCCTGGGAGTGAAGGCTGCGGCGGCGGAGGAGACTCCACCGGTTGTGGGCATCGGCTGATGGAGGGTTCATCATCACGTGCACCCCATGCACCCCAATCATCATCTTCGGCTCAACGAACTGATGAAAGCAGAGGAGAACCAGTGCCTCCTCCTCCTCCTCCCCTCACCTTATGGCCGCGAAAATGGAAATGTTTGTCCTCGAAATAAGGGCCCAATTCCCTAAAAAAACCCCAACTTTACCCTTTGTCCCAATTATATCCCAAACTTTTTTTAGTCTTATAAAAAACCTCAAACTTTTACTTTTGTCCCAAATCTACCCAATTCACTTTTCGTCCAATTTTTTAATATTATTTTTTATTTTTTCGAATTTTTTTATTTTTTCTTTTCTTTTCTTTTTCCTTTCCTTTCCTTTTTTTTTTGTTTCACCTTTGGGCCGGTCGCCGGACCGGCGACCGGCCAGAGGCGGGGGCGAGGCTCGGTCCCGCCGGCGTTGGGCGAGGCCGACCTCGCCCGGACCACGGCGAGGCTCGGCCCCGCCTATTGGCGAGGTCGGCCTCGCCGGCGCCGGCGTGGCCGGAGTTCTCGCCCGGATCTGCGAGGCTCGGCCCGCCAAGCATCGGGCGAGGTCGGCCTCGTCCAAGACGGCCTGCGAGGTTGGCCGGCCTCGCCGGCCTAGTGGAGTTCTCGCCGGATACGGCGAGGCTCGGCCCCGCCGGCAACCGGCGCGAGTCGGCCTCGTCCGAAGAACGGCGAGGTTGGCCGAGCCTCGCCTAGTTCCGGACGAGGCCGACCTCGCCAGGTCTGCCGGCTGGGCCGAGCCTCGCCAGATCGGCGAGAACTCTGGCCACGCCGGCCGCGGCGAGGCCGAGCCTCGCCGGCTATTGGCGAGGTCGGCCCCGGTGAACCGGCGAGGTCGGCCTCTACCGGGCCGGCGTGGGCCGAGCCTCGCCACCACCGGCTAGGCTCGGCCCCGTCAAGCATTGGCGAGGTCGGCCTCACGGCCATTGGCGAGGTCAGGCCTCGCCGGCGGCACCACGGCGGGCCGACCTGCTGGGCCTCGCTCTGAGGTGCCACTGGCCCGGCGACCGCCAGAAGGTGAAACAAAAAAAAAGAAAAGGAAAGGAAAAAGAAAAGAAAAGAAAAAATAAAAAAAATTCGAAAAAATAAAAAATAATATTAAAAAATTGGACGAAAAGTGAATTGGGTAGATTTGAGACAAAAGTAAAAGTTTGAGGTTTTTTATAAGACAAAAAAAAGTTTGAGATATAATTGGGATAAAGGGTAAAGTTGGAGATTTTTTAGGGAATTGGGCCTCGAAATAAGGTATGATTCGAGAAAAATTCAAGGACTAAACCTGTGACCAAAGTAAAAGTGCCGGGCATTTCCCCAATAACCTAAATAATTTTTGAAGGAAAATTGTCACAAAGAAAAAAAAGGTCATAAACTTATTGCAATTTTACCAATTGAATTCTACAAATTTTAATTTTAACAACTGAATCCTAAATATTTTCGCGTTTTATCAATTAAGTCTATCCCGCTAATTTTAGGTGGAAATAACCGACACAAACGCTAGTTAACCTGTGTGGCATGGCCGGCACTAATAAATTTAATTTTTTTTTATTTCTTTTCTTTTGCTTTTTTACACCTTTGGCCGGCGAGGTCGTCAGTCGACCGTGGCTGGGCATACGCGAGAGTCTCTGGCCCTCTCTTGTGGTCACTAGTCAAAGGTGTAAAAAATAGAAAGTTAAAAAATTATTAAAAATTATCAACATCAACAACGAGCGTCGATCGTGCTCGATAGGACGCTCAGGGTCCAGATCAGTGATTTTCAGCCAAAATTGACCGGATGGACCCAATTGGCAAAACGTGAAAATACTCATAGCTCAATTGGCAAAATTAAAAGGTTGATGACTGAATTGGTTAAAGTGTAATAGATTTATGACGTTTTGGACGATTTTCTCTAATTTTTCTGGGGATGGTCGAAATACCAAATCAGCCCCTGCAATGTCGATGGTAATTCCCACGACTGCCATTCCGTTCCGCGATTAACCATCTCCCCCACCCCCCCTGTAAAGATTTGATCTTTCAGGGCCACACTCTGTTGATACACACCATCATTTTGTACTTCCCTCTTTCTCCAATCTCCATCTCTCTCTCTCCCTTCCCTCCCTCCCCTCTGTACTGTCCCGTCTGGAAGGTCTGAATTCGCCGGCAATTCCGTGGCCTGGTCCGGTGCACGCGCGCCTCGATCGGATCCTGCCGGTTTCTTCTCCTCGCCTTTCATCGGAGGCTCGGTCGCAGCTCGAACCGCCCGTAATGCCGTCCGTCTACGGAGCTCGCTTGACCACCTTCGAGGATTCCGAGAAGGAGAGCGAGTACGGTTATGTCCGCAAGGTGCGTCCTCTTCCCCCTTCCAATCCGTTCCGGCGATCCCCCCTCCCTCCCTCCCTCCCTTCCTGATTCCCTCCCCTTCGTGTGGGCGTGGATGTCGGTTTGTCGGATCAATGATTCGCCTTTCCTCCGTCGTTGGTCGTTTCGTTTGTCTTGTTCCATCCGGGTTTTTTTCAGATCGGGAATCGTCCGTCGTGTTGGGGATTATCGTGATCCCGCTCCTTTGATCTAGGATCGCATTACTGGCGCTGCCCAATTGGTTGATCGTAATGCGATCGCCCTATCGCTGTTAAGCCGTGAATAATGTTTAGCGCATTCTTGTAGATACGTGGACATGTCGGAAAGATGCCATCTTTTTTTCGGGAATATTAGATAGCTTTTTGGGCATTAATGAATTGTAGCCAAACAACAGAACTGCTGCTTCATTCTGAGGCCTTGTATGAATTGACATGCAGGTTTCAGGTCCGGTGGTTGTCGCTGATGGCATGGCTGGGGCGGCGATGTACGAACTAGTTCGCGTGGGTCACGATAAACTCATTGGGGAGATTATTCGTTTGGAAGGAGATTCCGCAACGATCCAAGGTTTCACTCTTTCCTTCCTTTGTACCTGAATTTATTCATCCAGAATTGTTTAATTTCTTATTATCTTGTCGTCCATGGGTTAATACAACTCTTTTCTCGAACTCATTGAATGGCTGCAATGCATTATGACCAGGTTATCTTCTTAATAACAGTGAGAAAGCTCATTGTTTTCCTTCCATTTGCAGTTTATGAGGAAACAGCTGGTCTCATGGTGAATGATCCTGTTTTAAGGACACACAAGGTGACGCTTCTTCCTCCTACTCTCATATATGTCCTGTATTTTTCCAGTTGGCAAGTGATCAAAATCAATGCATCCTCTGTTCGCTAACCATGCAATGTTAATGCCATTGTAACAGCCTCTGTCAGTGGAATTGGGTCCTGGAATTTTGGGAAATATTTTTGATGGAATTCAGGTTTGCCTCAGGCTTCGCTTGCAGCTTAAATCTCTTGCCCCTGCTTTTTTAATCTGTGAAAATGTTTCATTGGTCTTGTCGAGCAGAGGCCCTTGAAAACTATTGCAAAAAGGTCCGGGGACGTTTATATTCCCCGTGGTGTCTCTGTGCCGGCCCTTGATAAAGACATACTTTGGGAGTTCCAGCCTAAGAAATTAGGTGAGTCATGGAATTTAATTTAAATTTCGTCTAGAGGCAGCTAATGTGATTTGAGGTTGACTAATGTTTATACCTTACCTTACCTCACCTCATCGTCTGGGTTTAATTTGCTGGTACCAGGTGAAGGAGATCTTTTAACGGGGGGAGACCTGTATGCTGTAAGTTCATCGGTTTTCGTCTTTGTTTCGTTAAGTTATTCCGTTGAAAAATGGGTTTCTTCTATCATGTTAAGCTGCAAAGCTATTTTCGGTTGCTAGATTTGCTATTCCTTTTGTGTGATATATTTTTGTGATGTTGTGTTCTCTGACAGACTGTCTTTGAGAATAGTCTAATGCAGCACCATGTTGCACTGCCTCCAGATGCAATGGGAAAAATTACTTACGTTGCTCCACCTGGTCAATACTCTCTAAAGGTATTGTTAAAGTCTAGCTCTTTCTTGTAGTTTGTAGTCTGCCCTTGAAATTTGATGCAGTTACCCTCGGGTTGGTAATAGGGTCATCTAAATTAATAACGTTACTGGAGCTGTTATTGTGATATTTTCCCGTGTTGCATTGCATGCATGCGCACTTGGTGTTTTCACTTGAATGAGATAAGTGCACGCATTGTTTGTGAAGGGCTTTCACTTCCCGAAAAAGTCTTCTTCCACCCTGGAGGGAATCGAACTCATTCAGGAAAATGTATGAATTAAGAAAATTCTATTCTGTCAAGGAAAATGCATGATTGAATTGATAAAATTGCCACTTCGTTGTCGAAATTTGGATAATTCGTCCTTGCTATTAACTCTGAATGTGTAAGACATTTCCATGGCCGATCAAAGAGAGACTTATCTTTCCTTTTTTATTTTGTATGATAACAGCTGCACTAAGAATATGCAAATTGTAAATGTCTTAATCTCCACCTGTGGTATTAAAGGGCTAGTTAGCTATCTTCTTAGTTTTATCTTGACCCGAGGACATAGACGTACAGATTATAAGAAGAAATGATGTATGGAATCTCCATCTCCATTTTCATTGGACAGTATGCAGCTGTGGATCTATTTTTGTTAATTTATATGCAATTGCAGGACACTGTTCTGGAGCTAGAGTTTCAAGGTGTGAAAAAGCAACTTACTATGCTTCAGGTTCGCTACTCTATTTTTTATCCATACTTTTTCTAGCTTGAGCAAATAATACTACAAGTATATATCTGAAAATCTTTTGGGAAATTTTGGTATTTGGTATTTTTCAGACTTGGCCTGTACGTACACCAAGGCCAGTTGCATCAAAGCTTGCTGCAGATACCCCTTTGCTTACCGGTCAGGTAACAGATTGAAAGTTTAATTTCAGATCGTGATGTCTTTTTTCCTCTGGTATATTATGTTCACAACATTTTTGTCACATGACAGCGTGTACTTGATGCACTTTTCCCTTCCGTTCTTGGGGGAACCTGTGCTATTCCTGGGGCATTTGGATGTGGCAAAACTGTCATCAGTCAAGCTCTTTCCAAGGTGATCTTTAACATTCTCCACTGAAAGTGAATCTTTAGTTTCATTGTATTGCTGATGCCATGACTTATTGACTTTTTATACATATGACTCGTTTGCAGTACTCTAACTCTGAAGCCG